TGGCTCCTGGCTGGCCCCGGGCTTGCAGGGGCCAAGGCTGGTCCTGAAGCCAGTGCCCAAGGTGCCCAGGAAGACAGGGCTGTTTCCGGGGAGTCGAACAAGCAGCAGCCTTTGCGCGGCCGCGGCGGGGGTGGGGTCCGCGCCCCCCTCCCTGCTGCCCAGGGCCCGCTGCTCTCGCGGCCTCTTCCCGGTCACCCCAGGCGCAGCCTTTCTCAGAGGTCTCACTCCAGCTGGACGCGCCTGTCCACCGAGGCTAGGCGCGCCCTGACCTCTTCCGAGCAATTAGAGTTGCCCACCTGAAGTGTGACCTAATGACACCAGGCGAATTTCTCATCTGTTTCTCTACCTGGCAGCCAGCTGGTTTCTCTCAATAATGACGTTGGGTCCTACTCTGGTTGCAGAAGTCTAAACTGTAAAATCTTGGGGTGCATAGATAGACAAATTTTAAAGTGCCACTGAGGAATTAGCAAGGACGTGATTAATTTTGCCTGGGGGAGGAAGAAGGTTGAGTCCGAGTTTCCCCCGAAGGTAAAGCGCTAACAGGCGCTGAAGGCCAGGAGAATCCCCCGGTGGGCTTATCTGGCAACCGGTGAGCAGGTTCCAGTCAGGAGTCTGCACTCGCTTTGAGGTCACAGACCAAGCCCCTCTCCAAAAGACCTCTTAGCTCCTTAGCTTGCCACTTTATTTTTAAAGTTTTTTTTATTTATGGGGCCCTCCCTGGTGGTGCAGTGGGTTACAGTGCAGCACTACGAAGCCGGCAGCAGCCGCTTCAGCGAGAGTTCAATCCCTGGCCAGGGAGTGACCCACAGGGCGCAGCAGACCTCTCCTGGCCTGCCCGCTGCTCCCTCAGCAGTGGACTTCGTCGATCTGCCTGTTCTGCTCCCCGCTCTGTCTCTGGTGAATGCTCTCACCCTCTGCCCCTCTGGCCTGCACCCCAGTTCTGTATGCATAAATCAAAAAATCTTAAAAAAGAGAGAGAGAGAGAGATTGCGAGCAGAATTCCTTGGTTGAAGGACCGCAGTCGGGTCACTGTATGGCCCACTACTGCAGAAAGACTGTGTCAGTTTGCAGGCAGGAGAGGAGCTGGGTTCTCTCTCTGCACAGCCTGAGGAACAAGACAAGTCCGCTAGCCTGTCCCTGGGCAGGAAGCGAGTGGCCCATTTGAGCTGGACCTACCTTTTCTGCAGCTCGTGTCTGCTTTTACACGGACCTGGTCACCTGCCAGGCCTGAATTTGACTCCAGCTGTGCCGTCTGCTATGTGGCTTCCACTGAAATAAGAGCTTAGCTCTCCATGTTCTCCCCCGGAGTTCTGACTTTGTGGAAGTCTTAAGATGCTCAGATTAGGACGTAAAGGTGAGACACTTGGTCCAGTGCAGCCCCGAGGGCCACAGGCCGTTTCCAGCAGGAAGCTGTGTGAGCTGCCTGAGGCCCAGAGGGTACTGTCGCCTTGAGCACCTGTTGGGACCCCTTGGCCGCAGGCACAAGCAGGCAGGCAGGAGCCTCAGGCTCGCGGCCCTTATCGTGATGGAGAACATGCATTGCATACTTGAACTTCACCCATTACTAAGGTCTTTAAACTTAAAACTAAAAGCATGTGGGCCTCCCTGGTGGCACAGGGGTTAAGTCTCCGCACTACAAGCCACCAAGCCCTGCCAGCCAGTGTGGCCTGAGTTTGATCCCCTCCCCCGCCAGGGAGGGGGGTGGCCCAGGGCGCAGCGGACCCCTCCTGTCTCCCCGCTGCCCCTGAGCAGTGGGTCTCAGTGGATCCACCTGTTCTGCTCCCCACCCTGTCTCCGGGGCATCCTCTCACTGCCCCCACCTTCTGGCCTGTACCCCAGTTCTTATATGCATGGATAAAAGAATTTAAAAAAAAAAGTAAAAACACGCCTTTATCTTAAACGTCAAGAAATATCAAATCAAATCCAAGGTCAGCTGGTGGAGCTCAGCCAGAGTAGTCAGAGGCTGAGGTTGTGAATGTCGAGGTCCACGACACTGACCGCGAAGGGCCGCAGAGGGCAGCTGGCCAGCCCGCCGCTCGGCCACGCCTGGCAGAGACTGCAGGGAAACCACCCGCGGATGCTGCCTCTCTCAGTGCCGTGGTGGGCTCAGGGAAGCTTTAGAATCAAACATGGGAGACTTCCTGCGGGACAGCTGCGGGGCCATCTTTTGGGGCCAAATTGTCCTTTTTCCCACATTTGAGGCACTTACAGCATTTCAGAAACACTGGCTGAGTAGAGCGACAGCTTTCTGCCTCTTATCAATGGATTGCTGGGTCGTTTCAATTTAGGTTTTGACTTAAGTTTACAGGTGGAACTGTAAGAAACTTCAGCTACTATATTTGTAAAAATTTTGATTGAGAAAGATTACTAAGCCTTGCATAGATTCTTGGCTAGACAACAGTTTAAAAAGAAGAAATTTCACATCAAGGTTAGACTTTCTCCGATAAATCATTCCACTGCTCTATGAAAAAAATTAAATGGAAATTTTAATATATTAAGTTTATACACATAAAATTTTAAATATTTGAAGATGTTGAATTAACCAAGTTTGTGAACGGGGCCAAAATGTATTTGGTTTCTGAAAAGGGTTGGTAAAATAGACTTGACTTCGAATAACAAAATCTGAAAGCTGAACTTTGAAAGATTTCGAAGGAACTTTTGAATTTGTTTTGAGGGGTCGGTGTTTTAAGGGGAATCCAGGAAGGAAGCTGGAGGGAAGAGGATCCCAAGGGTGTCTCGTGATGCCTTGTTTATATGGGGGTGTTTTGTTCCTGTAGGTTTTCCAAAATTACACTTGAATATTTTGAAGAGTGAGAATGTTGAAAATGGTCGAGAATAAAGTCTGGAGTCAGGGTGTGGGGGGCTTGCTCCCGAATCTGGACCACACCTTAGGGGAGCAGTAGGAAAGAAGTGTAAAATGGGGGGGCACAAACGCCTGACACTTGATAGTGAGCAAGGAGCTGGTGGTAGAGGGAGAAAAGGGATGCCCCCCCCCAGCCCTGAGCAGCGGGGCGCAGCAGGGGTGGATAGCAGGATCCCCAGAACCGGTCCTGGGGCGGGAAGGGGCTCGCTCCGCTGGGGACTGGGCTCTCCACCGACAGCGAGCTGCAGGGCAGGTCCCCACGTTAACGTGGGGGGTCTGTGGGGCTCCCAGGTTGCTCAGCTGGGTGGGGCCTCCAGGGGGCCTGGAGAGATATTTAGGGGTGTTCAGCATCGACCGGGTTACTCCGTGGCAGAGAGTATGGGAAGAGGACAGGATTTCAAGGGAAGCGCACGGGGCGCAGGGGGCAGAGGCACCCTAAAGGCAAGCAGACTTCGCCGAGGTCCCCGATCGCCCCCAGCCCAGAGGACGCCGCCGGCGGCCGGCGGCTCGGACCCGCCCCCTTCCGGTTTCTGCTGGCGGGCGGGGCGCGGCTGTGGGCGGG